GGTCCTTTACAAGAGGAGCAAACACTCTTGACTGCCTAGACATCTCCTCAGTTCCTACATTGATTCTTAAGCTCTCAAAGGCAACATGCTATAATATTGTTGCTTCTTCACAGCTGGATTTTTTTTTTTTGTATTCTTTTCTCCAAAGTAAATTTAAATTTTCTTCTTTTTTTCTTCTTCTTCCCCCCTCTTTCTCTTCCTTTTTTCTTCTTACTCCTTTAAGCAGTGAGGGTCCTATAAGCATCTGTAGCCCTGAAACTGTACCTTGAAAGTGATCTTGTGAAGTCCTTAGATCTTCCCACTGTTTACTCTTCTGCCTTGTATCAACTGGGTCAGAGGAATAACTCAGAAATCAGGAAAGTTGGCTTCAATTGTTAAGAAAGTTAACTGGGCTGGAGAGATGGTGGGCTGAAGAGATGGCTTAGGGATTAAGAACACTGACTGCTCTTCCAAAGGTCCTGAGTTCAATTCACAGTAACCACATGGTACCCCCCAACCATTTATAATGAGAACTGCTATCCTCTTCTGGCCTGCCTTTGTCTATGCAAGCACAACACTGAATACATAATAAATAAATAATAAAAATAAAGAAAAGAAAGTTAACTGTTAAGCCAAAAATGACTAACAACGTTCTTAGTTCTACATAGCTATAGTTTCTCAATAGCATGGCAATCCTATTAAATTAGATAAAACCAATCATCTTGTTCCAGTACATGAATAATCCATTGTTATTTGTCAAATTCTTCTAAGGAACCTAAAACTTTATACCTCCCTCTCTTCATTCTTCCCTTTCACCTTCTTTTTCTCTTTGTTCTTTCTTTGCCTAATTTTATTCTTCCTTTATCCAGATTCTCTGACTTGGGCTAATTGAATATCATTTTTCAGTAACAGTGATCATAAATCACCAAATGTCACCTTTAGCTAAACATCACAGTTTCTGTAAAAGGTGAGTGCGTCACAGCAGATTTGCTCATGGTCTTTCCTTCTCAAGCCCACACTCACCAGGTCTTGCAAGGAAATCAAACAAGAAACACATGCTTGTTGCATTTGGTCTTTATAGTTAAACAACTTGTGGTGAGAATCTGGATAAATTGTATCACCTTAACTAAGTATCTTCTTAAGTTCATAACTAGGTTTCAGGCATATACTAAGCTGTACATGGATTTTTCTTGCCTAATCTTTTGCAGTGCATAATATATTTCCACATTTTGTAGATAAAAATGTGAATTTTACAGAAGAAAAAGACATTTCCCAAACCACACACTAACTAAATTTCCTTTAGAATCTTGATCTATGTCTTCATCTGGAGAAGTATTTAAACAAAATAAATTTAGAATTTTATATAGTACATTAAAAAATTATCTGGAAACAAAGGGATTATTTGGGAGAAAAAATAGATTACTAATAAATGTATGTAACAAATTCCTTAGAAATGAAAGTATATCTTCTCTTGGAATTGTTTTATTGCATCCCCTGAATCAGGAAGAGCCTGATGGGCTATGTAAGCCAAAGATCACTCCATGGCAGAGTTTACCTGAATAAGGTTAGTAATTTCTGCAGAAAGGCAATGGTTGATTAATCAAGGTCTATTTGTTAGCAAAATTTTCCATCCTGGTAGGATGTTTTGTCACTGTTGGTCTTTAACTTTCTCAAGTTCTCAAAAGTACTTGGTCTACCACATAGCTTTCTCTTGCTTCCTGAGAAGCAAGATTCTTTCGAATCTTTTTCTTTTACAAGTTGTCCCTAACACATGTTGTTTTGCTATTATTCCTTGGGTTATTAACAATATTGCTATTAGTGCTGATATCTGACCTTTACTTATTGCAGACTCAACCTCAAAGTATGATTCTCTTGATATTTCCCCCAACATCTTTTCAATTCATCTTTCCTATACCAATCATCAAATCCTTCAAAACTACTCTTCCTCTATTTAATTATGCACGTTTAACAACTGAAACAGTAAAGTACTATAGCAATGATGTAGCTTTCCACTATGAAACCATGGATGCATTTTGTTGGCAAGTAGACCTCTGGTTACTGCTGTTCTGCAGAGTCATGAAGATGACATGCCAGGTCACTATGCTTTCCTTATTCAGGATATTTTAGAAATTCCCAAGGGATGGAGATGACTCTATTCCTAAAGAATTTTAAACCTTCTCATCATCAGTGAATACATTGCATGGTCCTGCTTCTGAGTTTTTGTCTACAATATTATAATTGTTTTGGCTATAGATGTAGAAAAATTTTCCAATTGAATTACACAGGAATAGAACTAAACAGATGTTAAATATAGGAACTAACATTTTCTATTTCTAGAAGTAGTAAAAATTCTATATAGCAAAACTCTTAGTACAATGAGCAAGAAGAATGGGATGGAATCAATCTATGTGATTTGATTCAAGCAGAAACAAAATTGAAAGTAAAAAGAGTCTCAAATAAAACAAAATATTATATACAAAATTTCTTTTATATAACTATTATATATAAATTCTAGATGAAAATATAATGTGCTCAAATGTAACCAGATAATATGCAATAAATATTTGCTATATGTATTAATCTAAACTCTTAAGTCATGACTCCTGAAAAAATAAGAAATACTTAAATATACAAATGAATGGCTGCTCCAGTTTTTGGCTATTTGCTTAATACATATCTATAGCAGCAATGGAATCTTGCATGGAGTAGCATTGTTTGTGGCTGTAAGAATGGAAGTGGTGATATCCAAGGACTGGAGTGACAGACAGAGAGAGTTGGACAAAAGAAGATGCAGTGAGAAAGGGGATATAGTAGAAATTATAATAAGTGGTTTTTTCCCTATGAGAAGGACTCTATAATTTTTATAAGTTTTTATACTATCCTTCCAAGGAAACTCATAATAAAGGTCAAGAGCTCAGCCATGATGTTTGAAGTCATTCTATGTGAGTTTGAAGAAATACCTGTGAATAGTTCAAAGTTCTTCAGTTTTATTCAGGTCTCTGAAAGCGCCATCCTCAAACCTCTGTTGCATCTCTTTCACGGGTCTATTCTCAGAAGTTAGTGAACCAGGAATGTGACAGCAGGTTTCAGAAATGCGTCACATTTCCCAGGCCCAGAGCAGACTGAGAGAAGCCCTACTCTGATCACTCAGTGAGTAGGAGCAGAACTGAAGAGCTGACTGCCAGAAATGGATGAATAGTGAGAAGACAGAGTGCATAGATTAAATCAACCCTAAACTTCATTAACTGTAAATAAAGTAGAGCAATGATGGGGGCCTGTGATGAAAGGCCCCTTGCTTGGGCAGAGAGGGAGACCTCTAGGTCAGAAGGGGTTTGAAAATATTGTGGTCCAGAGCAGCTAATAATGGGAAAACTGAGCTTGCTAGACAGTTTGCAGATAGGGTCAGGACAGGAAATTAATAGAAGAATAATGGTTGATCTCTTGATTTCTCACTACTAAAATCAATTAAGTCTTTATCATCATGATCACCAAATGGCCAAGAACAAGATAGTTTGACTCTTATTGGAGCAATTGCCCTACAAAGGAAGCTCTTCTCTGTGCCTGTGTAGACATTTAACATATGCCATGTATGAAAGGGCTCAATGAGAGAAGCTTAGACACTCCTTCCCACTTCAATACTTTTTCAACTTTTAAAATAAAAATTGAAAATAATTTTAATAGAAAAATGTAATTAGAATTTGTTACCAGAAATTGATTTTTTGTAGGCATCCATCTAACACATACTTATTTAATATTTACTACAGATTTGGTTCTCTCCCTCATTCCCTCCCTCCTTCCCCCCTCTCTCACACACACCCTAAATCTGTGGCTGATTTGTCACAGATGAAACGAGTACCACCTATATGCACTTTAGCTCAGAGTTTGCAGGCTCCATAACAGTTGTAGAGGTGAGCACACGAAGCGATGGGTCACAAAGTGTCACAATCAGCAATGAACAAACATCGCTCAGCGCATGTTTTTTCCTTTTTTTTTTTCTTTTTCTTTTTCTGTTTTCTTCAGTCCAGGACCTAAACAAAGGGAATGGTGCTGCCCACATTCCTTTGTCAGCTGACTCTTCTTCTTCAGTTAAACGTCTCTAAAATTACTCATAGGAAAGCTTACAAGTTTGTTTTCTAAGTGATTTCAAATCTAGTAGAGTCAACAGTAAAGATTAACATGCCTGAGAAGTAAAATAAACATAAGACTCCCTTGCAGAAGACACCAAGCCCATTACACCCTGACTCCTCCAGATAAAACCTGTATTAGTCAACTATGTTTTAATATACCTCTAAAAATGAGTTTGGGATGCATATTTCTTCATTTATATTAATTATTTTAGATATACATTCTTAAAATCTAAAAGCTCAAATTTCTAAATTGGTGTTTGTTCCCACAGTAAGAAAAACAGTATTCACAGAAGTAGATATGAAAACAACACAGAAAGCAATCATTAGCTGTGTGGCTGGTTCTCTTGGGTCTAATCCTATATCCTTAGGTGCTGCTCTAAGTCATATATTGAAAATTATGTAATTATTTGGAACCAACATAACCTCCCATTCTTCTTTGCTGAATCCAAATCCTAAATCATACAGGTGCTATCTCATGTATCTCATGCTGGTTGACTTTAATGGCAATGCTTTGCTCGCTATTCCTTTTATTCAGCCATTAGCACAGATTCTATATGAATTTAGCTGTAAAACAGCATTGGGTATGTCCTAGTACACGTCAGCACAGTTACCAGTGTGCCCATGTCATCAGTAAGGTACTGTTTGAATGTTTCATTCAGAAGTCATTTAACCAGAAGTGCTGATATTTTATAGGTAAAATGTCTACTGGTTTCTTCCATAAATTATACGAGTAGAAAAGATTCAACAAATTACTAGGCTGGGAGATAAATACAAAAAAGCTCACATGATTATGTATACTGTCCACCTGCTTGAGTATTTTATCATAAATTGTCCAAGAACATTGAGGGACACCAAAGTTTTTACTGCCACTTTTTCTAAGTGGTAAAAAATCGATCACCATGCTTGGGCACAAGTTTTTTTCTCTAAAGAAACACCAAATATAGTTTTCAGTACATCTTCTATTTCTTCCTCAGTCAGACTCTTAAACTCTACCAGATCTATACTGTCCTTATAATTAAATCTCCTATAGGTCAGGGTGGAGCCAACCAAGCAGTGAACCCCTTCTGGCGTCTGCAAGGAACAAAAAGATTTGCTTGTAAACACAGACGCTGGCGATGTCTGAAGGTAGGTATTCGTGGACTCAAAATCCTCAATGGTACGAGGCTCAAGAGTAAAAGAATAAATTTTTCGATATTTGTTCTTCTCAAGGAGGTCTGTGTTAACAAATTCTTGGTTTGGAATGTACTGCTCTCTTCTGATTTGGTCCAAGTACCAGGTTCCATTCTCTTCTGTCAAAATGAAGATGGCAGGCACCTGAGGCTGATTCTTCCCTGATGTTAATTCCAGAGGCTCCCACATCTGATAGGAACGTCCAAACCCAGCATCGACAATGTAGTCCTTGTCGCCGATGGTCACCTGTACTAGCAGGTGAATCATACCACTGCTGTACTTATTGGCTGCAGTGTTAAAGACATATCCTCCCAACATTGTGGTTTCAAAGCCCGTTATGGTCAGTGCCCAGTACAGCAGATGATTGACCTGGAGACACCAACCACCCCGCTTCTTCCTCACAATTTGATCAAAGATGGTGTCTAAGTTCAGCTCCATAGATTCCCCACAATGGATGTTCAAGTTCTCAAAAGGAATGGCTCGTATCTGGTGCTGAAGGATTGCAGTTAATGTCTTCAAGTCTAGTTTATTCCTGGAGTTCTGATAACCAATTCTTTCAAAGTATGCTTCAATGTCCATGGTTTCCCAGCTACCAGGGCTGCGACCAGACCAAGAAGACCTGAAAGTGGGCTGAAGGAGTCTGGCTCCAGAAATTGATTTTTAAAGCTTCAAATGCCATTTTTCTCTCTTCTTTGGCTACCTTCCAGGAAACTTTTTTTCCATCAACATCTATACAATGCTGGGTTTCATCAGCACATGAGACTTAAGATGGACAAAAGAAAATGTCTTTAGCACTGGTCAAAAGAAGCTATTACTGTACCACTTCTCAGAAATGAAAGAAAGGTAAAACTTCATTCTCTAGATGCCTAGACTAGATTGAGGCTAGGAGAGAGTCTTCTTGTCACATATAGGGCACTGAGTTGAGGCTGATTTGGTGGAAACTAGGTTCTGAGCTCGGTTCCTTATTTTCCTTATTTGGAGAACAACAGCATCTCTTCTGGATCTTAAAGATGTGGCTGGTCTAGGTGGCCCTCTGATTGAGGCCAACCACAAGCACTGAGGGAAAAAAAATAATGCGGATTACAAGAACATATTGTCATGTTAAATAAATGGTATGATGAATTACATGGTAGATTAAGTGAAGGGGCAGATTGGAAATGCTATTTAAATGATTTAGTTTCTTTTGTGTTAATTTATGTAAGGCTATGAATTCCCAGATGACCCAAAAGAATAATATTACTTTGTTAAATTGCTGTGTGATTGATTTTCAGAGTTTTGCAAAAGTAAAGAAATCCTGAAATGTAACATGGATACTGATTTAACACTATTATTTTAATTTTATTGCACACACACACACACACACACACACACACACACACACACACACACAAACAAACAAACATATGTCCCCGATAGAGCCTTTAATAGATTTAAATCCTTTCTGGGTCTCCCTGGGCAGAATGCCAGGATCTGAACTGACCACCGGCCAGATCTAGGCACACTGATGTTTGCTTGGCAGCACCAAATTCTCTTTCAACACTGCCCTCAGCTGCATTCCTTTCCCCAGCGCCTAAAAATGTTGAGGAATGCTAAGACTATCTTTATGACAGCATAAGGTTCTTTGTCACACATATAAAATTCAGGGGACTTTTACAGCAGCAGCTGCTATACTAGAACTGGGAGAAATAATTCTCCAGGTAATCACAAAAGATAAAAGGAAAAGGGATAAAAAGGAGAAATAGAAACAAATATATTATTTCCAGGCAAAATAGCAACAGTGCAGAAGGGGGGTGCTAAGCACTAGAATTTATTGTGCTGTGACTATGGTTTCAAGGTTCCCATTGAGCCCAGGAAAAGGAGAATTGCAGGAGTCAGATGTGAATGTCACAGCCAAGAAATGCTGTCAGCTACAATACTGCCAGCTCACTGGTCTCCAGGGCCGGAACTGTAGAAGTGGTTTTCCAGTTTGAAAAATCTAAAGATGTAAAGAAAAAGAAAAAAAGCATATTTAGTCTTTCAAAATGTTTGATAAGCTGGTGATTGTGTAATGGAAAGAAGAGAGTAAGAAAGCTTTCAGATAGAGCACTACGTCCCTAGACCATGCACATTTATTAGGCAGAAGAAAAGTTTTTACATGAAGAAACGTGAGACTGAAGATTTTGGACATGCTCTGTGGAGCCAGAAGTACAAAACAAAAGAAAGTATGTAATGAGGTTGCCTCATTATTTCATAAATGTTGACTTTGTGATGCATACTTATTGCAAGAGCTATGAGGGAAGGCAAATTCCTTAGATCCCCTGTGAAGGAACAGTGAAAACACTGACAAGCAATCCCTTGAAAATAAGTGAGATCATTCATTTTAGGGGTCTCTGGTTCTGACATCTGTGATGATTTGAACAGCTTGGAATAAATTCAGGCAGATAATCCACTCAAAGCAGACACGTATACGGAAATTTCTAGCACACACTCCCACATAGCTTGCAGTTTTTGCTCGCCTTAAAGAAGTGCTTTTCCCTGAGAAGTGTGCCTGCTGAAGCATGGTGTGCCAGTCATTATGGTGTCTTTGTGGTTCACACTGAGCAAGCTGCCTGCTCCCAGCTGGAGCCAGTGTAGTTTGGTCTCTAAAGATTTCTCAATCTACAGATCTAAGGTATCAAAAAATAATGGTTGATGTTTCCTTTTAAAGTGTTAAACCTTCTCGATTTATGGACAATAATTTGTAGCACTTCCTTTGAATACCTGGTAAAAGCAACTCTTAGGTATTTTTTTTTATTGCCCTGTTCAAGGCATCTGAGTGTTTCATGTTCTCCTGTAGGACATTGGTTGATAGACTACAATAGAGAGGCGTTTGTTCTGTGTGCCACTCAGCTAATTAGGAAACTGGCTCACTGCCTGCCTCTCTGAGTACTCCAGTTTTCTGAGCTTCCAAACCAGCGCCTGAGTTTTCAATGTTTGATGTGCTGATGGACTTCACACACTTCGCCCATTGCCTCCTTATTTCTGCTCACTTCCTAGGCCCACAGCATTGTCTAGTTTCTGTCCATTTTATTTCTACTTTATGAACAGGTGGCTTGCTAGGCTATGACTTCATTCATTACTGGAAACAAACTCACATAAATAAATATAACAATTTGTCAAGTTTTGATTCTTTTAACATATCTTAATGTGTTATAGTGATAAAATTCAATTATTACAATTCTCCAGATTACAGTCAGACCTGTCAAATATAAGACAGATTAGTTTCTTTGACTACAGGATATCTCTTTCATTGAAATACTATAATGGAATAAGCCCTTAGAAAAGACTTCCTGATATTGCTTTACCCAAAGTATTTTCTCAAACTTTCCTGAAAAGAATATGTTCTTTATTTTGGTGCTAATCAATATGATAAAAGTATCTGCTAGTGAAAGCACTGACTGACTTCTGGGTTCAGTTCTTGTTGGCCCTATGGGGAGGCCTTGGTATCCCCCTTGAATAAAGTGTCCTCAATGATAATAATTTGAACAAAATACAAACAACCAAGATGAATCAAGCCTTGACAACTAGGCCCGAATTTTTGATAAAAATGGGTACAAGGCATGGAGCAATCATGACTCAAGGATGGCATGAAAAGTTTGCATATTGTTTTTAATATGTCTGTATAAAATCATCAATAAGCATTTGGAAAATATACAAATGTATCTTGAGGGTATCTAGCTGTCTAGAAGCATAATTTTGGGAGTCATTGTGATATATTTTTATCTAATTAAAGCCCAGAAAGTGAACAATTTAACTCTTGATGTCTCAGTAAAACAAAGAGAGTGTCTGACAGAGGATAAATGACATGAAGGTACAGCCAAGGGTGGGCTCTAAAGCCAGACTCTGGGGATACAAAAGAGCAGCTTGGAAAGAACGTCATTACCTCTTGAATATAGAGTTAGCGCATCAGAAGCAGAAATAATCTTAACATTTGGAAGAGAGGCTGCTGGCCTTCATTGGTATCTTGTAATATTTGTAAGTCAGTTTTTCATAGTTGAATTCCTTTTTAACAGGAGCTGATGTGGAGAAAATATTTGTAACAATAGAACTAACTCAGCCCAGGCCAATGGTGTCGAGCATTAGTTACCTTGTTGATTTCATTACCGTAAGATTCCCCAGTATGAATTATTTAGCATAATGATTTTCTTCAGCCCTTGTATAGAGAGTAGTTCTGTACTTACAATGAAAAAAAAATCATAAGAATACAAACTGTTCCATGAAGTTTGATTTAAGTTCAAAAAATTTATTCTCTAGGGTCATAGTGGTTTATCCAATGTGAAATGTGTTGTGCTCTGCAGAAGGTGGACTCTGGCTGTGCATTTAAATGGAGCTAATGGATTTCTTCTGTGCAGTCCAGCCTGGGGAGAAATGGAGAAGCCAGTGCAATAAACCATGCAGCTGAATTGCTCACTTAGGTTTTCTGGATTGTAAGAGTAGAAGTGGTATTTTTGACCCTTTTCCCTAAAGTACTCCTTTTCTCCCCTTTGCCGTGATTCTTCTTCCAATGTGGCATAACCTGTCTTGTCTGTGTTCCTTCAGGCCTTCCTGTATCTCTCCTCTACCTTCCCACCTGCCTCCCTCCCTGTCATTTACATTTTTTTAAATGAATGCCAGTCTCTTCAAGATGATAGATACAAAGAGATATTTGTGGCATGCTCATAAATATGTTTCCTATGAGCTGCTTTCGGAAAACCCCAAGATGCATGTGAAGAGTTGTAAAACTCTATTGACCAGGTACAGAAGAACTTGACTTTACAGAAGGAACTGGTGTGTTTTGCATCCTGTATCTGTTTATTTATTTAGTGCTTTGTACCAGCTTCCATTCTGTTCCTTCTAATTTTTTTCTTTTTCTTTTTAAGTCTGGGGTTATGGGAGGCATGCTGCTAACTTAGGCTTTTGGTTCAGGCTGTACACTCAGCAGAGAACTCAGTTTTTGTTGTCTGTTTTGTTTTGTTTTTCATATGATCCTAAGGAATTGGCCTGTATAGCTCTCAGTGGGAGGTAACAGATTTTTATGATTCTTAGGAAACTACATTTTTTGTAAACATCTTTTATACTCTCTATGCATAGTAAAAACTGAAACCTTTACTTTGACCTTCAGATGAGAGAATGTTTTGTAGGAAGAGAAACAACCATAGCTGTGCCTTCCTTCTTTCTCTGCCCTGTATGATGAAGTAGACGTTATGAGCACTGGCTGGTCTTCTAAATGTCCTGAGTTCAATTCTCAGCAACCACATAGGGGCTCATAACCATCCATAATGAGATCTGGTGCCCTCTTCTGGTCTGTATGCACACATGCAGTACAGAACACTATATAAAAAAAAGTAATAAGTAAATCTTTTTTAAAATGCTTCTTAAGTTCAAGAATCTTGTCTCTTATATCTTTGCTTCATAGACAAGGCAGTAGCAATGCTGCCATGAATGTTGTTTTAGAAGTAAGAAACATCTGAGTTCTAACTATCTGAAACATCTCACCATGGATAAGTTGGCTGACCTATACAAAGCTCATTCCCTTCATCTAATAGCTACCTTAATAGTCTCAAAAAAGTCATGAGTGCTGGTTAATTGGTAGCAAGGACCATAGGTATATGAA